CAAAGCAAATAATTAATCACAAAAACCCTAATTTTCAAGGGAGGAAGAAGCGAAAGGAACATGTAAATAATAAGAAATCCTTAGTTTGTAACTGTTAGTATCTCAGAAATTAAGATTTGCTACAGAGAAGCTGAATATGGGATGATTTTAGGCAAATAATCAAAGTTCACCTTTTGGAGAGTGAGGCAATAATATCGTTCATTTGCATTAATAATTTTCAAGTAATTTTTTATGCATGGCATGAGGCATGGTGTTTCAAAAAATTGAGAAAAATGGAAAGAGAAGAATTAAGGTGTGTCCTGTACATGTACTGACTCCACATAATGAATGTAACCATTATGTAACCATTACTGTAAACATTTACTGATAAAAATTTTAAAAAGAATGTACCCTAGGAAAACAATTAGGAAATAAAGAAGCTTTCGCTTTGTGGATGGCATTAACATCAGGAAGATATTAATCATATAAACAAATCCAGTTATTCCCAGCATTCATTTTCTGTAACATGTTTCAAAATAACAGAAGATTCTTCCATTATTAGTAGATGATTTGCTTTTGCTTAAACTAAAAAAATTAAGCAATTGTTGTAAAAAACATGAACAATTATGTTATGCACTTTTTAGTAAAAATGTACTGCCAAGCCATCTTTTTAGCATATCTTTTTAGTTCTTCATAGGGTGCCCAATTTATCTCTAAGCCATCTGTACTTGGATGAGAAATAGCAGCATCTTAACTTTAAGATGGACAAAACAAGAATTTCTTCTCTACAACATACCTTTTTCTCCCCAGGTTTTTACCATCTGGATAATACATTACCACTTACAAAAGTAATCCTGTATTATAAAAGTAATCCTATTATTAAAGTAATCCTATTGCTCCTCCCAAGTTGTTTTCAACAAGAATAAACAACAACAAATACCTTCCAACCACCTCTTATCGTATCTTTTCCCTTAATCTTTCATACAGCATTTAACACACCAACAAACCCTGATGGATCACCTCCAAATGTATCCCCAATGTATCTATCTCTCTCTTTCTGTCTGTTGTCACCAGGCAGTCCTGCTGTTTCTTTGTTCCTCCTGAATTACAGCGTGGGCTTTAACCAGATTCCTCGTTCTTACTTCCAGTCTGATGACAATGGCCTATGTATTCCTTCAAAATGTCAATCAGAGAGTGCTTTCCCATTCCAAAGAATCCTACTGCAAGCACAAAAAGCAAATCCCAGACTCTGTGAGATTTGGTCCCCATCCAGACACTGTCAGATCTTAACATCTCACCTCTTGCTGTGTTTCAGCCTGGCCGCTACTGTCCTTCTTTCCCTTCCTCTAACATGCTGAGCCTGTTTCTCATTTGCACCATTTTCACAAGTTTAAAATGCTTGGCACGGTGGTTTCATGTGGCTGCTTCCTTCTTGTCGAGTCTCAACTCAAACGATACCTACCTGTTCAGCGACCTCTCCATATCTCCAAACCCAAATCAGTCACTCGCTCAAGTCATTCTCCATCATTTCCACCTGTTTCACAACCACAGCAGCATTTACTCTTTTTCTGAAATCATCTTGCATAGTTAATGTTTTTTTGAATATTATCTATTTTCCGATCTTTGCTTTCTGCCGTGCCCTCTTCCCTAATCCTAGAATGATACATTTTGGAGAACAGAAATTTTTGTCAAGTTTATTTCTGAATATTCACACCGAGGATCGTGGCCTGCCATTTTGAAGAATGTTCAATAAATATTTGGTAAATGAGTGAAGTATTATATTAATAAAGAGAGCACATAAGGTAGGACTATGTCACTTACAGTGCAGAGTTTCAGGGGCTTCGTCTGTAAAATGAATAATTAACTTTCTCGGTTGGAAACCGCGTGAGATGACTTGTGGTACTTCTAGTTCTAAGATCTATGTTGGCAGTGGTACTAGATTCTCGTTTAGAGGTATTATTTATTTTGGAATCTGTCAAAGTATTTTAAAATGTAGACCTTAAAATTTAAAAGAAAGGAACTCCTTATACTTCTTTTCCTAAGCCTATCTAGAAAAGCTCCATCCCTTACCCACTGCCCTCCTGTACAAGACGAAAGACAATACTCAGGCTGCACTCTCCGTACATACTTCAAATTCCCTCCCATGCTGCAATCTCAGCAATTCTCAGTCTTCTTACGTGTTCATTGTTTTTCATATTTTTTTACTGTGCTAGGATTAAAATCAGGGCTTCACACATGCTAGGCAAGGGCTCCACCACTAGGTTACACACTCAGATATATTTTATTTTATTTTTGAGACAGAATCTCGCTTAGTTGCACAGGCTGTCTGGAACTTGAGCTCCTCCTGCCTCAGCTTCCTGAGTAGCTGAGATAAAGGCATGTACTGCCACACCAGCCCATTGCTTGTCCGTCTTTAGTAGCATTTCCTTCAGGCTCTTGCTTTTTAACTTGCAAATATCTTAGAAAAAAACCCACAAGAAACAAAATACAATAACCCTTCCTTCACCCTGTACGGTTTTCCCACACTCTTCTTTTCTTTCCTTTGTCACCCAGATCCTGACAAAGGGGGTCCTATTCACTTTCTATTAGTTTGAAACCACTTTAGTTTGATGCTATGGCCAATATCTAATTTACTTAATACTATGGATACATACCTGACTGACACATTCAGTGACTCATTTTTAGTTCTCCACATAGTTTATGTCCCTACTGTCCTTGATACCTTCTTCTTGAATTATTTTTATTTCCTAGTTTACTGCCTCTAATGAGGAAGGTAGAAAGAAGTTCCAATGTCCAGGACAATCTCAAACACCAACCAAAAATTTTCATGTCCATTATAAATTTTCAATGTCCTGCTGGTCATTTGTATATGTAAAAAGCAAATTTAAAGTCACTCAGCCTTAAAACTAGGTTTTAAGTATAAGCAAATTTACTTTTGCACATTTTTGTATTCATTAAACTTAAGGAAATCGACCATGTAAATTTAGACATGATTAAATTTTTCTCTGTGGAACTATACTAAAAGTTGTTCCCCATCTCTTGAATTTACATTTTCAGTGGCAGCAAGGGTATTTGTATATGTATCACAGCATTACTGTATAATTGTACTCCTCACAGGCACAGAGTTCAGACATCTATCCATGTAGATATACATATATATATGCATACTTATACATAAATTCATATATATATACACACACATGAACATATATGTACATATATTTTTGATCCTTATAATAAGCTGCCAATATAAAAAACTAATTATGTATTAGTTGACTTCTTTATCTGTTGTTCAAATATAAGTTTATTTATTAAAACAAGGCAGAAGCACCTTAGATTTTTATTTTATCATTTAATGTACATATGCCTGAATGATTTACTCATTCCACTAAATGCTACTTTATTATAAAAGTATTTCTTTTATTTTTTATTTTTGGTGTTTATTAGACTTCTGAAGTTATATGTGTACAACGACTTTCATTTAATAATAGTCAAAAGAGACTTTACAAAATACTTTTTGTTAAATCAAATGTTGGTTTCAAAGAGGCTGGGAATCTGTGGTTCTAGGTCTATAAAGGGTTTTTTCTCTAATTACAATCACCTATTACAGCTCCCACTGGTAATAAGGATTTCTCCCTTCCATGCTGTCATGTTCCCTTATACACAGTGATAGAAAAGTGTGTATTTATATTTGATAGTGCTCTATCAGACTATCCACTGGCCATCAACTTTTGAGTGTTTTTTTTTATTCTGTTTTTATCAGCAGGAGTTTATGTAATATAAATATATGGTTCTTTCATTGTAAGAGACTCAAAGATAAATAATAATGAAGCATTTTGCTTTCTTGTCTTTTAGTTGAAACTCAAAATTAGGAGTATTTGTTAAAAGTTTAACTAGCTTAACAAGTTGCTATTTTTATTTTTTTGATTTAGGATTTATTTTTTGTTTCACTTGTTTTATTTCACTAGTCTCGAATTAATTACCAAAACCAACAACAACGTGAGAGGAAAAGATGCTATTATTATCATTCTTTTATAGAGAAGGAAAATAAGGTTTGAGAATTTATTTAAGATTTGTAGAATCCAGAAGAGTGTCTTAATCCATAGTTTTGCTCTTAACTGACCCAAAGATTGGCCAGCATATTCTGGAAAGAGGAAATTTAAATCTAAACCTATTGATTTCCTTTGTCAGGGGAAGATTCTTGTCCTGAAACCATCACTGGGTAGCTAGCCAGTGTTGACATCCATTGACATCTGGCTTCTGGTTCTTAGTTAGAAAAGGTAATGGATTTGAAACATTCAGCACATTGAATTTATCTGTTTTCAGCCTACTCCCTGCCTTTTGTAATTCTTTCCATTATAGAACCCAGAAAATATATATACAACAAAAATTAGTGGGAATTAAATGGAGGAGGCAATTTAAATGGAGGACACAATTTAAATTGAGGATAATTTAATTTCACTTGGATCAGAGTCCTTTGAGAATCTGATTATAGTAATGGATACTCTATCTAGAAAATACACTCAGTATACCTACACTTTTCAAATCTACTTGAAGTTTCCAACTTTGTAAGGTATTTAGAACATAAAAAATATTTTTCAATATGGATTCTATTTAGGAGAAAGAGTTTTTGGGCAAGTGTTCAAGAGAGAGTGTTCGCTTCAAGTCAAAATAATGAATTAAGAAAGAGACAACCTTAATGTTTGACAATTTTACACTCATGAACATAATTTATAGAGATTTTATATCATGGGAATTTGTTCTATAAATGTACCGCTTGTTTGACAGTTTATGTTGTTGGATCAAAGATGAATATTTTGAATCTCTTAGCAAAAATAGAAGGAATTTAAATTATTTGCAATGGAAAGAAATTCCATTTCATTATATAGCATTTCCAAGTGAAAATGAATTTCATGTGTGAGGTATAGGAAGTTTATAAAGCAACCATTTTTTTGAAGCTTAACTAAATTTCTTTTATAACTGGAATCTTTCCGAAAATAAGACGCTCAAGTAGCTCTTACCTCATCTGAACCTGATCCAAAAATCAGCAAGTCAAAAGGGATGGCAGCAACCATGTCAATCAGGAACCAGCCTTTGAAGTAGTGGATTGCTATTTTGGCAGGGTCACTTACCACTTCTTCATTCTGATTTACATATGTTGTTCTAAAATTTATTAGAATATCTATGATAAACATAATATCCACAATCAAGTCTACCACATTCAAAGGGCTACAAGAATAGCCACATTCTCGTCTTTTCTGTTCTTCTCTGTCATTGAGGAGAAAGGCTGCAGAGTAGGGTGTGAATATCGCGGTGTATATAACCAAGAGGAGAATAAGCCAGTCCCAGACTGCCTTGAAGGGGCTGTAGTGCAATATTGTAAATTTGTTGATGCGTGGTGTCTGCAGTTTATATTCTGGCAGGACATCTGCTCCCAAAGAAAGAACCTGAACATAAAGAAAACCATATATTACTGTCATTTTAAATTGTCAGTATGTAATCTAGGAATCTTAAAAAATATTAAGATAATTGTATAGCAAAATCTATTGGAAAGGATTTATGTCATCTTGAAGTATGTATGTAAAGCACACATACATTTAGATAAATTCATATAAACCCCTAATATGTAGAATGTTTGGTTCAAGAAAACCTCACTGGTATTTCTTAATAAATTTTGTTTTTCTCTGAAAAATAATGAATGTTATTCTTGAGATTATGTGGGATAGTTATTACTTCTTTGAAATAAATAATTCAAAAGAAATTAAAATATAAGATTATTTTTAGAAAATTATAAAATCAGTTTTGCAATGTGAGTAATAGTTCAGTTTCCAAATCTAGGAAAGGATTGACTGTAATGAAGAGAAATATAGTTGGACTCAGGGTCATATTTGATTTACATAGTTTTACCATATAATTTAAACTTGATAAATTAAACATAACTCATTAAATATGTAATAAAGTAGTTTTTGTACCTGCAATTTATTCTTAACATGGGGTTGGGGAGAGGCAAATGAGATTAAAATATAGGAATGTTTTCTCTAAACGATGAGAGGGTATTTTATGTTCTGGTACACATATAGTTTCACCCAAACTCTTCCAGTAAATTTAGAGAAGTCTGAAAGAAAGATTCTGAAAGGAGATGTTCAGAGTATTGACCTGGAAGTGTTCCAAAATTCTTAGTCACCAACGGGTTGATGAGACTTAAGATATTTTCTACTCAATAAAGCATTGGGCAAACAAAAATAGTTCACCATTTAACATTTTTGTTTATCTGAAAAAAAATGAGAGCTGAACTTAAGTTATGTCCCCACCAAATGGACAAATACATTGTTTTGTGGTTTCATATCAAGTTATAAAAACAAACACAAGTTAAACAGAAAGGCTATGTAGTTACATAAGACGGCACAAGCAAAGCCATTTTAAGACAACTATGAGTTATCATTTTAAGCCATCATACCCATGCATGTTCAGTGGTTCTAGTTCAAAGTTAATTTTACTAAATACAAATAAGTAAGCAGGTAGTGGATGCATCATTTTGTGCAGTATAAACCCGAGGTCATTTCCCGTTGGTTATTTAGAATAGTCAGTGCTTTTGGTAATTATGCCCACTTTGGTGTAATCTTAACAATACCAATGAACTATCTCAGGAAAATTTCAATTTTAAATATTATTATTATTATTGCCATATCTCATTGATTTTCCCCTATATAGCAAGTTACCATCCATATCTTAAAAAAAAATTCAGCTGTTAACCCCAAATGAGACATAGCATAACTTTTAAATTAACTCAAGATTTCATCTTCAATAAAGAAAACTGCTTTTAGATAACAGTTAAACTAATTTAACTAGCTTTGGAAAAAATAGACACAATCATTTAATAATTCCCAAGTAAAGCTGAATCACTAAGTGTTTTGGAGGAAATAGAGCTTTATCTTAAGCTATTGTGTGAAGCCAAGAGCTTAGTTCTGGAAAAACAGAAATGAGAAAAATAAAGTGAATTTATTATTTATGAAATACTAAAATCCTTTGAATCCAGGATACATATGTAAGTACACAAGCTGAAAACTCAAATAGGGAAAATTTTTAATTATCCATCATTTAATAAATACCGATAAATCTCTACACCGGACTCTCTGATCTTATTGTGATTAGTACAGATCCGTGTGTGACATTTTGATCTGGACAGATAGATGGATCACACCTTAAGGTGCCCTTCTGAAATGTAATCTTCCTTTCTCAAAAACCAGGGGCATGGATTACAGAGGAAATTAAAGAAGAAATTAGACAGTTTTTACAAATAAATGAGAATGCCAATACAACATACAGGAATCTTTGGGACACAATGAAAGCAGTTCTACGTGGAAAATTCATAACATTGAATGCCCACACTAGGAAAACAGAGCGGGCTCAAATAAACAACTTAACGATGAAACTTAGACTCCTAGAAAAACAAGAGCAAGAAAAACCCAAAGCTCGAACAAGAGAGGAAATTATAAAGATCCGAGCAGAAATCAATGCAATTGAAATTAAGAAAACGATACAAAAAATAAATGAAACAAAGAGCTGGTTTTTTGAAAGAATAAATAAAATTGACAAACCCTTAGCTAATCTTATCAAAAAAA